TCAAGGCTATGCTCCATAAATTCTTCCATGGACTTGGTGGTGATTACAGCCCATAACCTTGCCCAACATTCCCTTCCTACTCCTTTGGGTTGGCCCACATTAGCTTGAAAGAATGAGTTGTGGCCCAAACCCAAGTCAAGCCTCTCCTTACTCCTATCTTCGTTTGGGCTTGTCTCCTCCAAAGCCCACCTTTTAAGTCCACAAAACCTATTTCTTTCTTTAAGTAGCTTCTCTGCACAATAAACCCCATGAAACAGCCATTGGGCTCAATCTCTTTAAGACTTGGCCCATCAACTAACATGAACACTTCCCTCTGATGCGGCCCAATCTTTTCAATTAAGCCCGCCATATCACTTCTTGTTGCCACCAGATCTTCAAGCCCACATCCGAGCTCTTGCTGATCATCACACTCGGCCCGCTTCGCTTGGTCCAACGGCCCGACAAACCGAACCAGCGGGCGGCCCAACCAGACACACCCGAGCCCATTCATTGGCACATGGAAGGTGAGTAGGGTTTCATCGAAGGAAAGGAGACACAGCGGCTTGAACGGAAACAGAGCGCCGCCGCCGCCGCTTTCTACCTTCCTCTCACTTTCCTTTCTCGGCGGTGACCTACCCGACAGCCACCCCGGCTCCTCCGCCGTCTTCAACTCCGCCTCGTACATCAACGACGACTCAGTCTCAGTCGGCCTCTTCGATGTCGCCTCCTCGCTCGGCGGCGACCCACCCAGCCGATGAATCGAAGGCCAACGCGGTCCCGACTTTCGCCTCTCCTCCTTCTCCTTCGACCTTTCCTTTTCTGGCCTCGACGACTGCCTCTCCGCCTTCTCTTTCTTCCTGCGCGTCGTCACCGCGGCAGGGGTCACAACAGATCGCGGGGTCTTCGCGATTCGCCTCTCCGACGAACCCCCCCCCCCCCCCCCCCCGATCCGTCGCTCGTTTCCTCTTCCCCGCGCCATCTTTTCCCCGCGGCGCGAACAACTGCTCCAACGCCTCCTCTCCCGACTGCGCTCTCTTTGCCTTGGTCTCCGTCGACTTGGGTTTGCCGTCAATCGAGAAGGAGAGAGAGACATCGACCTCCTTCTTTGCCAGCGGCGCCCGTCGGCGGCGAGAATCGCCCACCTCCGGCCTTGCTTTCTTCAACGACGGGTCGTTCGTCCTCTCCTCCACCGCTTCTCTGTCGAACGCCGCCACGGTTGGAGCCGGCGGCCCTCGTTGCTCATTCCCACCGCGGAGTTTGCCCAGAATTTCCTCCGAGCTCTGGTGGTTATAGCTCGCGTCGGTCGGCGAAGTTGGTGGCGATGACGAACCGAGAAAAGGAGCTGCATCGTTGGTAGGCAGCGACAGGGATGGGGTTTCAAACCCTCTCGTAGCAACGACCTCTTCTTTCTTCCGGAATCGCCAATTATCAACGCAATTTGGCATTGATCTCCTCACTGCGCCTTCAACCTTCATCGGCCGGCTTCCTCGAAGTTTCGTCGGCTCAGAAGCCGCGTTTAGATTGCCGACAGTAGGGAGAACCTTGGCGGTGTCGGTTTGCTGCACTCTGGTCACAGTGAGAGTCTCTATCACTGCGCCTCCAGCTGGGGTGTCCACCGAAACCGGTACGACTTCAATTGATGGGACGATTTCAATGGCAGCAGGCAGCGTTGGTGATGGTTGAGCTGCGGCAAAGATGACTGCCGCAGTGGTCTCCTAAGGCTGAGGTTTCTTGACCGGCTGCCTCTCCTCCTCCATGACATCGTCCTTCATCCTCGACAACACCACGCGTGGCGTGGTTCCACCTTGCTCGAGCTCGATGGGGAACGTAGGTTGTTCCAACCACTCTTCGAACTCGATTTCTGCTATCCTCGGTTCGACTAGGACTGGACTCCTCTCCAACCTCTGTCGATGAGTATATCCGGCAGATTCCAACTTCATCTTAAGAATCCTAGTGAGTTCTTCGATTAAGAGCTCTTCGAATCTCGACATGGCTCCGTTACGAGTGCCTGCAACCGGGCTCTGATACCACTGTGAGAACCACGCTTCTAGGGATTCTCGATACTGATCTTCGGCACTCGTGACAATTAGGGATTTAGGGTTTGAGAGAAAAGAATTAGGGATTTAGATGAGATAGAATAGAATTGGGAATCGGCCGAGGCCTTGGACTAGGATGAGAATAGAAATTAGGAGTTGAGAGGAGAGATTAGGGTTTAGGAGACTTTGCTTAATATTCTTCTTCATTTTTATGACGTAAACCCAAAGTACATATTTATAGGGTAAATACCGAAAATCCTAATAATAATCCTAATCCGACTAAATCACTACTAATCATAATTATCATTATCCTACCTAATATAACAATAGAAACCATATATAAATGTGTTTCTGGCAAACTGATTGATAGGAGATGATTGAAAACTTGTGGACTTGTGGTCATATGTTGTTTTCAGGTTGAACAACTTATAGGAGAGAATGCAACTATGTACAAACAGCTTTCAGATGCTACTCAATGGTCCCAAGGTAAGCAAATACTAGTCATGATGTGATGACAATGGTCCCAAGACTAGTTAAAAGTTAAAACCTGATATTATTCTTAAGGGATTGTTTGATATCATTCCTATTAAGGTATATCTATCTGCAGCCTTTGAATATAGGGTCATATTTCTTTTGAACAAATTTAGGTTGCCTGATCTAGCACCCTCACTCTTGAAGACTGAGTTCCCACTTGGATAAAGAAAATGGGGAACTTAATTAGAAGAAAAAGATGGACTTGTTATTACAGAAGGGATATACAATTTGGAGGGACACAAGTAGAAGGAACTTGAAGGTATCATCAGCATTATTAGTCTTGCAAATCGAGTAGAACAAAATTAAGATTACGATATAAATCTGAAAACAAGATGATAACAATAACGAATGAACGAATAAATGGTGCAATCTGAATCAACGAAAGCTAACTTATGGATTTGAAGTTTGCATTGGCCCAGCATACATTGCACTTAAATAGATTGTTACTATTAGGAGTCGTGAAGATTTGAACACACGACGACTTTGTCAAACAAGCTGTGATACCATGTCATAAACATTAAACTAGTTGATCACATTAATTCGAGTTGATGGGAGAAGATTAATTATGAATTTGTATGCCACTCTCTTACACTAATGCCCTTTAAGATTCGCATCGTGACCTAGCCTTCCACCCAACACTCTCCTAAAAAATGGTTATTATTGTCACAAACGTCAAAGTTTTGTTATACAGATGTATTTTGCCAAAAAATAATTTCAAAAGTTTATGTTGGGCTTTGGCTGCAAATCAGACCTATTGGATCAATTCGTGGGCCAACACTCATCCAAGCCCATTTCACGTGGCGGGAAAGCCGACCGTTGTCCAGTTGGCGGCAAAATCAGAAACCTGCGCTCTATGTTCCGTTTCCAATTGGGAGAAGGAAATCCCTGTTCCTTTCCGATCAAGGAAAGGATTCCAGATTAGTTTCGGTAAATCATTTCCTCTATATAATGAAACTCCCACATACTGAGATTACGAATTATTTCCGGCAGTTTCCTTTTCTTCTCCTGTTGTTTGCTACTCTCTGTTCTCCCGCAGCCGCTCTCTGTTTCAGTCTCTCTGTTTCCAGCCGCCGTCACGATGGCTCTTCCGCCGTGCTGGAATCCAGGGAAACACAAGGAGCTTCTCTACAAGCCGCAACTGGAGTTATTTGAGATCATCGAGTGCGCCATGTCCTTAGCGGCTATCCGCTGGCCGGAGCAGCTCCGGGCTGAAAAAGCTCGGATTCTCAGCGCCTTCGACATGTCTCGGCGCTCCGCCGCAGCCAATGAATCGACGACGGAGAAGACGGAAAACCCCATCAACGCCGGAGAAGGCGTTCAAGAAAAGGAGGAAGCAGTGGCGAAGCCAAGAAGAAGCATCCATGTGGAAGTCGATTTGCGAGATCGCGATCGCAAATTGACGCCGTCCGTCCATGTCAAACCCGCTCTCCAAAAGTCATCAACGCCGGCGACGAAGAAGACGACAAAACCCATCAACGCCGGGGACCGCGCGCAAGGAAAGGAGGAAGCAGTGGAGAAGCCAAGAAGAAGCATCCATGTGAAAGTCGATTTGCTAGATCGTGATCGCAAATTGACGTCGGACTCTGCTAAACCCGCGCTCCAACTCTGCCAAACCGGCGCTATTTCGAGGGCGGAGAAAAGAGTGTCCTCTGAACCGAATCGCGGTGACGAAGCAAAGGGAGAGTACGAAAGGAGATTGGAGATCACCAAGAGGAAGTTGCAGAGTGGCTACAGTGCCTGCGAGGAGTCGAGGAAAAGGTCCAAAGTGATTGACTTTTGGACAGAGGTTCCGAAGAACACGCAGCAACAAATTGTCTACGACAAAGACGTGCCGTCGGCAGGCAGATTCAACAACAAGAAGAAGATTCAGCGCTGTCGTCCACCTCTTCATTGCTAGGCCTCCCAGTCCCATGGCTGTCTGATTGCAGTTTTCCTGCGTGTAATTAATGAATCGCATTGCCTCTGATTTAGGGGAAGAACATATTCTTTTGTATAGTTAAGGGTTCTGGGTTTTTGCTGATCCTTTTTCCCTTGGTAAAATTTTTGTAGTCTTGAAACGCTTAATGTTAGCTTGATATGTCCTCGTATTGAATGAAACAAGCAAATTTTTTTGAACCACTTTTATTCTTCGTTTCCCTTGAACTTGAAGATATATTGGTCAAACCTATTTCATTCAGAACTTCAATTTAGTACGCTTGGCAACTCCAGAAAAGAAGTAAAATTTATCAGGCAGAAGCAGTAACCAAACATTGAGTGAGTGAGAGAGGGAGGGAGTTCTTGCTTCACTGCTAATCTGGATCCAAAGCTGTAGTTTCCATCAAAGCAAGAAACCCTTGGCTGGAAGGAACACCTGAATCAGGCTGCCCTTCTTCTCTAGCTAACAACTCTAGCTATGTGGATGCAGTAAGGGTTCGAAAGGGTTCGTATAATCGAGACCGAACTGCAAGTACACAAACATGTTGAAGGAAGTGTACACAAACAAGACGTCGCATAACAAGTCATGTTACCACAACACATTGAAGCTATTTTTAACTTTCTGAATGAAATATTACCACCTATCCGTGCAAAACAAAGAAATACAATGTGTCACAACTGACAACTACATCTCTAGCCCCCATAAAATACATCGCTCTAAATCTTATCGGTACAGAAGATCTGCTGCATCTATTGTGTTGAAACTGGGGTGTTCGTTCTTCTACACACTTTCTCATAGACTGGCATTGGCAACAAACATTAAAAAACTAAAGGAGATCCAGAGCCTCGTCACGATCTTGAAGTTTCACCCACAAGCTCGAAGATTTCCACCGAACGACGAAAACTAGTCAGGAAGAGAGCTAGTGACATCTGCAGAACGGGAAGTCAGAAGGGTTAGATGAACCAAAAACGGTAGCTTATTGATCATCACAGCAGCGCACTAACTATGATCAAGCACACCTCGAACGTGCCATGACAGGAGCCAGGAGGCACCAAAAGGCGACCTTCAGCCATTTCACTTTTCTGAATGAACCCTTTTACCCTTCCGGCGGGAGTGGCTAGAATGGGCACTTCTAGTTGGTCTCTTGGATTTCTTGCTGCAAGATCATTGACGCATATTGAAGAGTTATTCCAAAATAATGGACTGGAAGAAGGGGGGAATGACATTTTATCGAAATTCCGAAACCAACCAGAAAACAGCTGAGAAGACTCTGGACAGGAGAATGATAGGCAGGGCTAATATTGCTGATGCCTACAACAGTTGAAGCAGCCATCAGTTAGTTCTGATTTACTAAACAAAAATATATTTTCATGATTGAATAACAATATGTGCAATGTATTATTATTACATACCACAAACCAGACGAATTCTTTAGTTGCGAGAGCTTCTGTCAACTCATGCCTTTTCAGGGTATCTTGAACAGTTCCTTGCACCTACGAAGAAATGTGTACAAGTCTGCTCAAGCTATGATATTTGTGGAAAAAGCATAGAGAGTGATCATTCTAAAATGATTTCCAAAAGCACAAATACACAACTAATCAACAGAGGAGGTTTCTTGAAATAGTTCTATAAGCCTAACCAATAATAACAAAGATTTACCCCTACCTGCTGATGATAGGTAGTAGCTGACTTCAGGAACTTCCCATATGCCCGAACTACTTTCTTTGTGTATGGTTTAACGACAACCCGAATTTTGTCGACATGGGGTTTGGTAATGGTGGCAACTTGATCGATATATGGCTTACTGAACTTCTTAGCTTCCTGTGATAGTAGTAACTGATTTAGAGGATACTTACGAGCAAGCATACAACAACAAACATGAGTATAGTTGAAATGTACCTGAAAGTAGGGGTCGACTATCTCTTGTACTTGAACTAAGTGAGCTGTAATTGAAGTCTTTGAGGTCTCGTAAGCTTCAACAGTTTTAGCACTTAGTGACCGCACATGTGGTTTAACCTGAGTTGTTACCACCACCCACTGATCCTTCGCAGTTGGGATCCATTTCTGCATTGAACAGGCAAGCAAAAACATAAAATAAAGACTAATGAATATAAGAGGCATAATGGGAAATAAAAGATGCCACTCTAGCATGAAACTGAGATCCCAAACAGGTACTAACAACTGACCATTACGAGCAGCACTTACTCCATAAACGGTTACTGCTACCAATAAGAGATGCAAGAAAAGACTTACAGTTTTAACTGTCTCCAGGTGTGGCTCAGCCCACTTTGCTGCCTTAATCTTGTTCTCCTGGGCCTGAATCAGATATCAACATGTTATCTTTATGCTGAAACAATGTACATGCAAAAGATTAAATTAAACATGAAGAGAAAACCAAAAGCACTTAGGTATCTCCAGACGGTTATAAAAACAAAAGAAATCAACTGCATACCTTTTGGACTACAATTTCCAGTCTAGGCTTGCCATGGTCATTCCAATGTTTCTGTGCCAAAGACTGGAACAGGAACAATAATGTTACATTTATAAGCAGGTCTAGTTAAGTATAAAAAGAACTGTCCTGCAATACAGTTTACAAGGATTTTTTAAGGGGCCTATTTTTAAGAAGCAAAACACTCCACATTCTTTGTTAATCTTCAATGGAACAACATATTCATTAGTGACCCTGCCAGCAGAGATTGTAATGTATTTCTTTTAATAAATGATGTTGGCAGAGTGTAAAATATATTACCTGAAAACGAACTAATTGCACAGCAAGCCATGGAGGAAGCCAGGCACCATGAACCTAAACACATACCACATGCTCAAATTAGAACCAGCGGCATAGTTTATTGCAGTATTCAATGCAACAGGTGTACTAAGACAAACTACATAATGTAAAAAACAGTTGATCGGCCACTACAAGTAAAGACCTAGAGCCAAGGTAAGGTGTAAATTTAAATAAATAAAAAACTATCCACCACACAACACAGCCCACGACATCAAACAAAAACTGAGGCCAGAATTATTGGATGAAAACTAGGCGAACAAATAAAAAACCAAGACAGGAGCAGAAGACCAAAATAGACAGAGAAGCAACACAGGATCACCATAATTGCATGATGTCCTGGCTTTATTAAGGTAGTCAATAAGCTTGAAACTTCACTTATGTGTAAACCTTGAAAGTATTTGAAAAACACCAGTTCTTACCTCCATCAACTCTTTAGTTCTCGAGCTGGCCTCCACCTTTGCCTTCAGCATTTCTTCCTGATAGTTATAATAGAGAAGATGAGCAGGAATTCTCAGAAGGACTAATCACCACGCTAAAGGTTTGCACCTTTTGTCGTCTAAGACATATATACCTCAGCCACTTTAAGAGCACGCTCTGTTTTACGGATTTTGCTCTTTTGGTCATCACTAATCTTTTGAAGCTGCACATTGAAATTTTCAAACAGCAAGTAATATCAGATGGTGCATACCCCCATAGAAAGTAGAACATATCTAAAATATGCCTGTTATATTAAGAGGGGGGAAAATGTTAAATGACTCAAGTATATGAAGAGTGATTTCTACATCAAGTAAAAAACCTATTGCAAGTACATTTGTGTTTGGCATAATCAGTTATCTTTTACAATCAAAACTATAGTTTCAGCTCCACATATTCAGTTACTACACAAATTCAGTCTGCAATAGACGCCCCTATAGAGTAGTAAGAGATGGGTGTTTGCATTACTCCATTTGAATCAGAAGAAAGCAATTTCAGTTATGTTTAAAGGAGGAATCAACAGCAAGAAGAAATAACCAACGGCAATGAGACCAAAGGAAGCAATAAAAAGCAACTTACATTCTTTAGCCTAGAGTTCAGCTCATCAATCTTCCTTTCAGCCTCACTAGCTTTGGTTCCCAGAGCCTCTTTCTCAGCATTTTGTGCTTCAAATTCATTTCTAAGTGTATCAAACTGCAGAAGCGGAAAAAGATTCAGAAAATGTGCAACAGCATCCTGAAATTTAGAGCTTCATTCTCTAATTTTGTACAAACCTGCTTCTGCAAATCTGCAGCTCGTTCATTGGCCTTGTTCAGCTGTTCAGAATCATCCAACTTCCCTTTTTCCTGTATAATATTAACAAAGAATATCAAGTTATGATGCATCGCAGCAACATCTACCTTATCATTGCATACTTCAGTTTACCAAACTAAGGATATCGTTACATCCTAGCACATAAATGAAATGTATATGAACATTTCAGAAACACTATAACCTGAAGGGATGATATTTCACTCTGCAAGGTTCCAATGCTGTCTGCTTTATCTTTGATGAGCTTCTCCTTCTCAGCTAATTTCTCATCCTTCTCCTTCAATTCCCTTGTCTTCTTATCGATCTGGGACTCTTCATATCACCAGGAAAATCAAAAGCAACAGAGAAAGCACAAATTCAGAACATCCGTCCGCAATAGCAACAGCATACAAACTAGGAACAGAATTCGATCATCACAAACAGTTACAGCGCATGCCTACTGCACAGCAGTTAGAATCACAAACTGAACCAGGGTTAACTGCCACCACATAGCCCACGGTTCGACTCCTAAAAACGAAATCGGAAAATCTAACAGTTGCCAGAAGAACAGAAGACTTGCTAATTCAGTCCACAAAGTCGCCATCAATCAATCAGTCCAAGTTTTCTCAAAGCAGGAGGAGTGCGAACTGACCAAGGGATTGGATCTTGGACGTGAGTTGGTCGAGTTCGATCTTCAGAGCGGAGGTCTCGAGGTCTGTAGATCCAGTGACTTGACTCGCCGGCACAGCGACATCGACGTCGCTGTCGGCCGAGGCGTCCGCCCAGGCAGTGGAGAGAAGTAGGGCGAGGAAGAGCGAGAAAACCAGAAACTTAGCGGCCGCCATGAACCGCCGGATCCGTCACCGAAATTTGCGACGGAGGGAAGAAGTGGAAGAACAAGAAGAAGAAGAAGACCAGTAAGAACAACACCAATTGATACTTGGGGTAGTTGATTTGTATAAAAGGCTTTTTCGGACGGAGGGACGGGGCGGTCTAACATCCACCAACCAAACAACAACGTGTTAGAAAGCCGGATCGATAGAATTGAAGAGAAAATCAATGAATATAATAGAAAAAGGGAAATAAATATAGAAATAAGTAATGTGGGGAAATTTCAGGCACGCAACACAAGTGTAGGCCGAGAAAATGAAAGGGGTAATAACTTTTTTTGGACAATGGCGGTATGGTGGGGGAAGAAGAAGGAAGCTCACCGGCAATCCGGCATATTATTATTTGTCACCCCACCTAAATTGGTTGCTTACTTTTGGATTCGATTTGGTGACATTGTGAATTTGTGGATGGGAAAATGTATAGTTGAATAGATACTAAAATGACACTCCCTTTATACAATTTTCAGAAGTGTTCTATTTGAATTAATATTGTTTTGAATTTTGCTAGAAGTTTTAGGTACCAAAACGTAATTAAAAGTAAGAAAAATTTTAGGTTGGACACACACCACTTTAGACAACTTAAGTGGTACACAAGGATTTGGCGTGAGGCTATCCTTCACCGATGACAGAGTCTATTGAGCACCGATTTGGGCGTATTTGTTCCGGGTCAATTTTTGGCAGTTTCCAAAGGGGTACCATCACCGATTTCGGGCGATTTTATGGAATGGCGATTTTCGTTGGATTTTGAGGTCTAAAGATCACGGATTCGGCCTGAGGCGAACTATGGCTATTATCCACATATGATGGAGTCAATTAATCGCCGATTCGGGCGAAATTTATTCCGGGGGCATTTTCGTAATTTTCCGTGCACTTTTTCGGAAGGCCATTTTTCATTGATTTTGGAGGCTACGGATCGAGGATTCGGCATGAGGCTATCCTTCACCGATGACAGAGTCTATTGAGCACCGATTTGGGCGTATTTGTTCCGGGTCAATTTTTGGCAGTTTCCAAAGGGGTACCATCACCGATTTCGGGCGATTTTATGGAATGGCGATTTTCGTTGGATTTTGAGGTCTAAAGATCACGGATTCGGCCTGAGGCGAACTATGGCTATTATCCACAGATGATGGAGTCAATTAATCGCCGATTCGGGCGAAATCTATTCCGGGGGCATTTTCGTAATTTTCCGTGCGCTTTTTCGGAAGGCCATTTTTCATGGATTTTGGAGGCTACGGATCAAGGATTCGGCATGAGGCTATCCTTCACCGATGACTGAGTCTATTGAGCACCGATTTGGGCGTATTTGTTCCGGGTCAATTTTTGGCAGTTTCGAAAGGGGTACCATCACCGATTTCGGGCGATTTTATGGAATGGCGATTTTCGTTGGATTTTGAGGTCTAAAGATCACGGATTCGGCCTGAGGCGAACTATGGCTATTATCCACAGATGATGGAGTCAATTAATCGCCGATTCGGGCGAAATCTATTCCGGGGGCATTTTCGTAATTTTCCGTGCGCTTTTTCGGAAGGCCATTTTTCATGGATTTTGGAGGCTACGGATCAAGGATTCGGCATGAGGCTATCCTTCACCGATGACTGAGTCTATTGAGCACCGATTTGGGCGTATTTGTTCCGGGTCAATTTTTGGCAGTTTCGAAAGGGGTACCATCACCGATTTCGGGCGATTTTATGGAATGGCGATTTTCGTTGGATTTTGAGGTCTAAAGATCACGGATTCGGCCTGAGGCGAACTATGGCTATTATCCACAGATGATGGAGTCAATTAATCGCCGATTCGGGCGAAATCTATTCCGGGGGCATTTTCGTAATTTTCCGTGCGCTTTTTCGGAAGGCCATTTTTCATGGATTTTGGAGGCTACGGATCAAGGATTCGGCATGAGGCTATCCTTCACCGATGACTGAGTCTATTGAGCACCGATTTGGGCGTATTTGTTCCGGGTCAATTTTTGGCAGTTTCGAAAGGGGTACCATCACCGATTTCGGGCGATTTTATGGAATGGCGATTTTCGTTGGATTTTGAGGTCTAAAGATCACGGATTCGGCCTGAGGCGAACTATGGCTATTATCCACAGATGATGGAGTCAATTAATCGCCGATTCGGGCGAAATCTATTCCGGGGGCATTTTCGTAATTTTCCGTGCGCTTTTTCGGAAGGCCATTTTTCATGGATTTTGGAGGCTACGGATCAAGGATTCGGCATGAGGCTATCCTTCACCGATGACTGAGTCTATTGAGCACCGATTTGGGCGTATTTGTTCCGGGTCAATTTTTGGCAGTTTCGAAAGGGGTACCATCACCGATTTCGGGCGATTTTATGGAATGGCGATTTTCGTTGGATTTTGAGGTCTAAAGATCACGGATTCGGCCTGAGGCGAACTATGGCTATTATCCACAGATGATGGAGTCAATTAATCGCCGATTCGGGCGAAATCTATTCCGGGGGCATTTTCGTAATTTTCCGTGCGCTTTTTCGGAAGGCCATTTTTCATGGATTTTGGAGGCTACGGATCAAGGATTCGGCATGAGGCTATCCTTCACCGATGACTGAGTCTATTGAGCACCGATTTGGGCGTATTTGTTCCGGGTCAATTTTTGGCAGTTTCGAAAGGGGTACCATCACCGATTTCGGGCGATTTTATGGAATGGCGATTTTCGTTGGATTTTGAGGTCTAAAGATCACGGATTCGGCCTGAGGCGAACTATGGCTATTATCCACAGATGATGGAGTCAATTAATCGCCGATTCGGGCGAAATCTATTCCGGGGGCATTTTCGTAATTTTCCGTGCGCTTTTTCGGAAGGCCATTTTTCATGGATTTTGGAGGCTACGGATCAAGGATTCGGCATGAGGCTATCCTTCACCGATGACTGAGTCTATTGAGCACCGATTTGGGCGTATTTGTTCCGGGTCAATTTTTGGCAGTTTCGAAAGGGGTACCATCACCGATTTCGGGCGATTTTATGGAATGGCGATTTTCGTTGGATTTTGAGGTCTAAAGATCACGGATTCGGCCTGAGGCGAACTATGGCTATTATCCACAGATGATGGAGTCAATTAATCGCCGATTCGGGCGAAATCTATTCCGGGGGCATTTTCGTAATTTTCCGTGCGCTTTTTCGGAAGGCCATTTTTCATGGATTTTGGAGGCTACGGATCAAGGATTCGGCATGAGGCTATCCTTCACCGATGACTGAGTCTATTGAGCACCGATTTGGGCGTATTTGTTCCGGGTCAATTTTTGGCAGTTTCGAAAGGGGTACCATCACCGATTTCGGGCGATTTTATGGAATGGCGATTTTCGTTGGATTTTGAGGTCTAAAGATCACGGATTCGGCCTGAGGCGAACTATGGCTATTATCCACAGATGATGGAGTCAATTAATCGCCGATTCGGGCGAAATCTATTCCGGGGGCATTTTCGTAATTTTCCGTGCGCTTTTTCGGAAGGCCATTTTTCATGGATTTTGGAGGCTACGGATCAAGGATTCGGCATGAGGCTATCCTTCACCGATGACTGAGTCTATTGAGCACCGATTTGGGCGTATTTGTTCCGGGTCAATTTTTGGCAGTTTCGAAAGGGGTACCATCACCGATTTCGGGCGATTTTATGGAATGGCGATTTTCGTTGGATTTTGAGGTCTAAAGATCACGGATTCGGCCTGAGGCGAACTATGGCTATTATCCACAGATGATGGAGTCAATTAATCGCCGATTCGGGCGAAATCTATTCCGGGGGCATTTTCGTAATTTTCCGTGCGCTTTTTCGGAAGGCCATTTTTCATGGATTTTGGAGGCTACGGATCAAGGATTCGGCATGAGGCTATCCTTCACCGATGACTGAGTCTATTGAGCACCGATTTGGGCGTATTTGTTCCGGGTCAATTTTTGGCAGTTTCGAAAGGGGTACCATCACCGATTTCGGGCGATTTTATGGAATGGCGATTTTCGTTGGATTTTGAGGTCTAAAGATCACGGATTCGGCCTGAGGCGAACTATGGCTATTATCCACAGATGATGGAGTCAATTAATCGCCGATTCGGGCGAAATCTATTCCGGGGGCATTTTCGTAATTTTCCGTGCGCTTTTTCGGAAGGCCATTTTTCATGGATTTTGGAGGCTACGGATCAAGGATTCGGCATGAGGCTATCCTTCACCGATGACTGAGTCTATTGAGCACCGATTTGGGCGTATTTGTTCCGGGTCAATTTTTGGCAGTTTCGAAAGGGGTACCATCACCGATTTCGGGCGATTTTATGGAATGGCGATTTTCGTTGGATTTTGAGGTCTAAAGATCACGGATTCGGCCTGAGGCGAACTATGGCTATTATCCACAGATGATGGAGTCAATTAATCGCCGATTCGGGCGAAATCTATTCCGGGGGCATTTTCGTAATTTTCCGTGCGCTTTTTCGGAAGGCCATTTTTCATGGATTTTGGAGGCTACGGATCAAGGATTCGGCATGAGGCTATCCTTCACCGATGACTGAGTCTATTGAGCACCGATTTGGGCGTATTTGTTCCGGGTCAATTTTTGGCAGTTTCGAAAGGGGTACCATCACCGATTTCGGGCGATTTTATGGAATGGCGATTTTCGTTGGATTTTGAGGTCTAAAGATCACGGATTCGGCCTGAGGCGAACTATGGCTATTATCCACAGATGATGGAGTCAATTAATCGCCGATTCGGGCGAAATCTATTCCGGGGGCATTTTCGTAATTTTCCGTGCGCTTTTTCGGAAGGCCATTTTTCATGGATTTTGGAGGCTACGGATCAAGGATTCGGCATGAGGCTATCCTTCACCGATGACTGAGTCTATTGAGCACCGATTTGGGCGTATTTGTTCCGGGTCAATTTTTGGCAGTTTCGAAAGGGGTACCATCACCGATTTCGGGCGATTTTATGGAATGGCGATTTTCGTTGGATTTTGAGGTCTAAAGATCACGGATTCGGCCTGAGGCGAACTATGGCTATTATCCACAGATGATGGAGTCAATTAATCGCCGATTCGGGCGAAATCTATTCCGGGGGCATTTTCGTAATTTTCCGTGCGCTTTTTCGGAAGGCCATTTTTCATGGATTTTGGAGGCTACGGATCAAGGATTCGGCATGAGGCTATCCTTCACCGATGACTGAGTCTATTGAGCACCGATTTGGGCGTATTTGTT